ATCATGTAAGTTTCAAAAACATTCGTGGTGTAATAGTTAGAAATTTCCGGCGATGAATATAAAAATTGAAACAAAATTAAATGAAAATATAATATATCTCTTCGATACTCTGTTGGCTGCGTATTCATCGTATTCATAATTCCATTGTCAAAATTAAAAGGAAAAGGAAAAGACGTCACAAAGTAACGAGACGTAAGAACAAGAGTAAACGAGAGTAAGAACAATGGAAGACGTATATCGGATGGTGATTCATCGAGATGTCGAGAAGCTAGTTTGTCACAAAGGGGGAAATGGGCCGGCATTACGAGCCGTGTTACATCATTTGGCAATGTCAAGCTCACGCAAATCCGGAACTGCTATTGGCAGTGTAGCCGTAGAAAGCTGCGGTGACGTGCCGTTGCGTATAGCCGGTCATTTCCACGGGCACTCGGTGGGCGAACACGCAAACGGTTATACTGGATTGCAGCGTGCAGCGGTTTGATATTGGCATTGCGTCCTTTTAGAGAATTGCAGTGGATTGCCAGCGAGCTGCTGCTCGTAAAAAAGCTCCGCCGCTGGCAGCCGCTTCTGAGAAACAGAACACGAAGCTTCCACTGACCTCCTTAGCCAATCGGATAGAGGCATCGACGAGTTGCGACGAACTACTGACCTAATCGTCAAAAATAAACGACAGACGCCAGCCAATGATAATAATCAACGTCGGAACGAATATTTTTGCGACGATACGGGGAGAGGAGGGAAAAGGTTGAGTGAGGCAGAACAAAAGACGCAAGTAAATCGTGAAAACCGACCGATTGTATTTATTTCGAAATTTCATTTCCAACTATCGACATTTCCCGATGGAGCAAGGACTCTCTCGTTCGTACGCGCATCATCGAAATTGACACTGACACGTCATACACTTTTCGGCCGGCAGCCAAATTTCACGGAATTCAACGCGATTCGAAGCGAGAATCGACTCTATCTAGTTTCAAAATCCGTTGTTGTACGAATTCGCAATTATCGACGTAAAAACGGCCGACGATCTAATAGGCATCAGCTTCGTAAACGCGATCGTTCTTCGCGTCTATCGTTTGCGAGATCGAGGGAATCGAGTCGCAAGGATGCGGGGGTAACGGAGGAGCGATCAATTTTAGTTTCTCCTGCTCGCTCTTCAGCCTCGCCAGTCCCCAAAAAGCTAGCTGAGACTCTGTTGTCTCCATCTGCGATATGTAGCTGTTTCTGTCGCTTTGGGAGCTCCTTCTGGACAGTCTGGACGTCCCAGACACCAGCATTCTCTTCGGAGGCAGCGGTGTGACGTAGTCATCCTCGTGAGACTTTCCATCCCTCTGCTTTTCCTCGTCTATGTCGACGCCCTTCGGGAGCACGATCACGTCCACGTTCCTGCGTTTCACGAACATCACCCGTTTGCTGCCGCGAAGCAACGTCGGGTGTCGCCTTATCAACAGGAACGAGAGGACACCACCGACGAGGAACAGCACGATCAACGACAACGTCATCACGAGGAACACCAGGCTCTTGTCCGCGTTCGTTAACCAGGTGCCGGACTCGTAAGTCGACTTGGTAGTCACGGCCAGACAATTCAACGGGGACACCGTCTCTCCGTTATCGTCGAGCAAACAGATCGTGTACGTCGCCTGCTGATCGATATCCCGCAACTGATAAGAGTGCCTCACGTTTTTCGCACAGCCGAGCGAGTCGACGATGTTCTCGTTGTCGAACCAGAGCAGCGTAACCCCTTCACTGAAGTCGGGCAGGCTCACTTGTATACTGTGGTCTAGGATCTCCGATACGTAGAAATCAGGGAATCGCGAGGCAAACTGAAGACCCGTGGACAACAATTTACGCGTATTGAAAGTCTGCAGGTATGGCTCGGCGAGATTGCAGATCACGTGTATCATTCCGCCGGTTGCAGGGAACGTTTCAGGCGTGGTCTGCTCGGGGGATTGGATTTGTTGAGTACTGGTGGTCCAATGTTCAGTAGATTCAAAGGTAGTGGTTGATCGAGGACAGAAATCCGCTTGAGTGAATGACTTGTTAGCGTTCTCCTTCGGAGTCTTGCAAATTAGATATTCCGCGTTCGGTTGAATTCCCACGAAATCCTTTAACCATTTCAGCTTGCAGTCGCAGTGCCAGGAATTATTGCGTACAAACATACGAAAGATTTTATTCACAGAGTCTAGCAATCCCTCTGGTAACCAGGTGATATCGTTGTCGTACAGCATCAGCTGTTCTATAGACGAGGCCATCGGTGTCAAAGTATCTGGCGATACTGTCTTGATATTCGAGTGGTCCAGATAAAGTGATTTCACCTTTGGCACACCGACGAATAATTCGGCATCGATCGCGAATAGATCGTTTCCCGACAAGCACAATATTTCCACGCTTGACAACAACGCTGTCCCGCCAGTTATGTTTCGTAGCACCTCTCGATCGTTGATCGCTTGGGTCAGGTCCAGCGTGGTCAAGGAACCCGCCACCTCTTCGAGCAAATTAAATTCAGCCGACTCGATGACATTCTCGCGAATATTCAGCGCCTGCAACGCCTCAAGGTGACGGAACGTCGCCTTGCGCAAAGTGGTCAGCCTGTTTTTGACCATGGTGATTGTTCTCGTCCGTTTGTAAATGGGCAACGAGAACGCGTCGTCGTCTATTTCGCCGAGGGAGCAGCTCGTGAACGTTAACTCCTCGATCGACAAATTGGTGCTCAGCCAATTCCTTCGGAGCGTGTTCTCGGCGAATTTGCAGCCGTCGAGTGACAGTTTCACGGATTTTGCGCGCTCGCAGTCAACCTGCGTGAAATTCACGATGAACCAGATACGTATACCTTGGCCCAGAAATCATAGGACGGGTATTGTATTTGTTTCGATATTGGAAAATTAAATGATACTTTGTATGTTTAATTAGAAAGACTCGCTGATGATAAAAGATTAAGAAAGAATCTCTGAGATAAATATATATTAATATTATTACTATTAATTGCATTATTAAATACTGATAATTGTATCATAAAATACAATTGAAAGATTTTATTACCTACGATAAATGTTAAAGACAAAAAAATGTCCAAGAGTTTCGAGCAGAAGTGTACACGATTTAAATATATGTAGAAGAAATATTGTTCTCGTTGTTGTACCTTGAATTTGTTCTCGATGAAGTCTGACACTGTTGTTCCAGAATCGTCCGGGATATTCGAGCAGCTTATTGCATCGCACGTTTGAATTTGACAATACTTGGCGGTTCTGCGTCCAATGATGCCACCCAAAGTTTGTCGAAACTTCGATGAAATTTTGTTCGCACTGCTCTGTGCATTTTCAATGGAAAAGTTGTTCTTCATCTTTTTATAAGCTTTCGTGCCCAAACACACGTAGGACGACATTAGTAAAAGTGCCATGACTGCAAGCAACAGAACAGGCACAGCAAACCTTCGCCAGTCGAAATGTTGTATTCGTTAGTGCGTTAGATATTATTATTTGAAATATTAAAAAAATTTTTTTTTGTACCTTGCCAAATCCTGAGATTTAGGAATGAAGATGGGGCGAGTAACAAACTTTTTGACGAACATGTTGATACTGCACGGAGGAACGATGGTCGCCACTAGCTGACGAATCCGGAGACACAATCCAATACCAGAATGTATGGCAATCATATCTACGTTTCCAATTGATTAATTTTATCGCATTTGTATTATTAGATGTATTCGAGGGAGAAGTTTGCATAAATTATCAACTATCCTTTCTCCATTGCAAATAGTTTATCAATTTCAACAATTTTTCAACAAGTTCTAATTATCGTCACGGACAAATCAGATTACGTGAATAATAATAATGATAAATTAATTTAAAAGTAATTATGTACAACTTTCAAAGTGCATGACCGAAGGCAAGAGTCACTAGGGACTTGGCGTTTACGTTTCTAATGGAAAATATAAGTTATTTAGAAAATAAAATTTTCATTGAAACAAAATATCTATTGAAAAATGAAAATAAATCGAAAAACATGTCGATTTTTAATATCGCTGCATAAAATCATTCTCACATCGCCGTGCTGCTATACTCACGCTAAAAAGCATCCGTGATCGTTGTAAAGTCCATCTTCGAAATGTACCAATATCGAAGTTTTTCTGTAATAAAATTGCTATGCAATTTATTCACCAATTGTCATGTATGTGAGACTCAAAACAGTCAAGCATGATCTCGACAGAATTTCGACAGATGTTTAGCACGTAACACGATTACATTTTGCTTAAAAGATATCTGAAGCGGATGATTTTACTTTGAGTATTGCTTATTCCGTTTTTACGCAACGGACGGAGAAACAAAGCAAGAAACACTGAATTCTTCATGTTTGAAAATTTCTATTAGTGTTCTCGCGAAGTGGGGAAGCAACTAAACTAATTGCACGATCCTTCTTGTTACTTTTATACCGTTCAATTTTCGTATATCATCGCCAGAAAATTGACGCTAGCTCTATTAGATTCGTATCGGAAATGATAATTACGAATCGAGATTGAGAAATTCCGTATTTCTTTATGTTTCTGTTACACGCAACAAATAATTACAATGACCAGTGGAAAAGGGAAATCAAAGAAATTTTACGCAAGTATTGTAAATCAGAACGCATGTATTTCTATTTCGACATTAATATTCATTAAACAAATAGGCTTTGGTATAACAGCTGTACGCTTGAGTCATCGTCGAGCTCTCCACGTTTCGAATCGTAGATATTATAATAGAAAACACATCTGTTGATAATATCAAATACTTGTATAAAAACAGTGTAGAACGTAGCTAGAGAAGTATACTGGCATTTCATTAACATTGTAACAAGATTGTCATGGCTACATTGATAAAACCAATCTGAAAATGTATAAAACAGTTACAAATATTCGATTTAATAAGAAATTAATCTAGAAGTTAATATTTATAATAATTTAATATTAAATATTAAATATTCAATTTAAGTCTAATGTTAAATTAAAATTAAATTTAATATTTAAAATATCAAATCATTATAAATATTAACTATATATTAATAATAAAAATTAATATATAGTCAATATTCATAATAATTTTTGTAGCATTGATTTATGCTACAAAATTGCATATGATTTATGCTGAATATTAAGGCTCATTGTTTGTTGTAATATTTTTATGATCTTCACACAAAATATGTGCTTGCATTAAGTATCTAATATATTCTACATATAGTACATTTTTAGATTTGTTTGTCAAATGTAATCGTGATACTCAAATCTCGCTACAATGCTAACATTACATATAATGAAACATCTTTCGTGAACTACTATACACGTATGTAAGAACACATTGTCAAGGAACGAAATTATCGTCTCATCGATACTTGCAACAAGAAATTGGTCACATTGATATATAATAACTTTGTTAAAATACAAATAAACTTTTTATTAAAAAAATCTAGTCTCACTTGAGGAACGAGTCTTGTATACGAAAAAGAGATCTTACGTTCCTTTCGTGAGGATTGCTAGATGAATAGTGTCTGAAGAACATCTAAGAGATGATCGCGCTTGTCAGCTGCGATTTGCGACCCGACCCTACGCACAACACCATGTCTTTTATACACTTGTAGCCATTGTAGAACGACACGTTGTCTCGTTCCTCGGTAATTTCCTCATCGACGGTGTTCGCCAGCGGTCTGCCGCGAGTTTCCGGCAATACCAGGCACAATAAACCCGCTATTAGAGCTAAACCACCGCAAAGAGTGGTTGGTCCCCACCACACGACAGCTCCCAGTAAATCGGCCACGTAAGGGGCGGCCACACTTCCGACGTGAGACATCGCGGAATTCGTACCGACCGCGGAATTTCTGCAGACCTGTTTCGAAAAAAAAAAAAAAAAAAAAAAAAACAAATTTCAAACAACATTTCGAAAGCAAAGATTGAATCACGAGGAAGGATTATTTATTGTACACCTGCTGTAGCAAATTTTCCGTTGTGAACATAACTAAGCACACGAAAATGAAAATTTCGATTCGAGAAATCTCCAATCTTATAGTAATATGATACTATAGTAATTACCGTAGGAAAAAGCTCTGAGCTGTACAAAATGACGATGCCATAAGCAGCTGACGCGCTGAACCTTCCAATTAAGGATACGATCATAATCGTGTCGCTGTCGGTCGTTGGAATTACAAGAATGCAGAGCAAACACAACGCAGCTATGATGTACAAACTTCCGCTTCCTGTACGTCGTCCCATAACCATCAGGATCGGCGTTGGTATTAAATAAGCTGGTATTTCAGTCAGACCCATTACTGACACGTAAATGTACCGGTTTGTGGAGAAATTGTTCACATTTAACGCTGAAATGATCAATAACAGATACTATAGTGAACTTCAATTCTTTTATAGAACTTTCATTAAGTGAAAGAAAAATCCCTGGCGCAAAATTTACAATTATTCGTTCATGTAAACTTATAAACTTCTACTGCAAAAGTATGATTGTAACTACTTCAAGCGATATCTCATGCGTAAGCAGGAGATAAATTTAGATCGTTCGATCACCTAGCGCATAGTAAGTCAGAGAAGCTATCATCCAGGTAAAATTCGTGATAAGAAGTCTCTTTCGTAATTCGCTGTTGCTGACAACCACCCAAAACCCTCTGATATCTTCGTGTAATCCATCTTTAATATTTTTCGATTCTTGTTTCGTCTGTTCATCCTCTGTAGTTGATGACGCGACTGACGTGGTCATCGTTATATCAGGACTTCCCTTAGACGCCTTGTTGATTAAACTTTTCGCCTCTTCTCGACGATTGTGAGCTATCAGCCATCGTGGAGATTCTGGCATGAACCTGTAACAGTATAATTACGCAATATTTCACGTACTCGTTAATTATCATAATAAGTTTCTTCATGCCAGTAATTTGATTATAATCAGATCACTTCATGAGACAAATTTAGCAGATCAATTCCTTCAAGAATCTTCACGTTACGCAAGAGCAGACTAACCATAAGTGTATTAGCAAAAGAAGAGCTGGTAGAGATATCGCTAATTGAATGTGTCTCCATTCGTGTAGCAAATAAGCTACACCTGGCACAATAACCGTTCCTGAGGCGTAGCCGATGTTGTAAGCGATTCCCATCCACTGTCTGTGTTTTTCATTCGCTACCTCTGTAACTGAATAATGAATACGCTTGAAAATCTAACAATCCGATGAACTATATTAATATTAATATTCGTATATCAATACAATCGTTATAATTAAAATTGATATAATTATGTAAGATTATTTGAAAATTAATATACAGAGATTTTAGTCGATAGATATTTTTTAGAAATCTTTCTAAGAATCTTTTTGAAGAAGGAATTATATTATTAATTTAAAGTACTCACGTGTTGTGAAAGATGAATACTGTATGGCTGCGTGACTAGCACCGTTAATTAATCTTGAGATCATGAAGCCCCAGTACCAGGGCACGATGGCACCAGCTGGACCAGAAGTGATTAACATTATTATTCCAACAACGTAACAGATTTTGCGGCCATATTTATCCGCGAAAACCCCGAAAAAAGCGCTGCCTAATAACTTTCCGAGAGACAGTGCCATGTGGGTGCTCGAACGTGCCGCGCTCTTGTCGCATACCAAATCCCACTAGAATTAATAATAAATTCAATTATTCACAATATTCCATTAGAATTAAATGTTATTTTATAAAATCAAATCCTTGGCAATATTGTCAGAGAAGAAACATTGTCTGCTGTTAAAAATTTGGAACATCTCCTTTTACTTTTTCCAACGAAAATACCAAGAATTCTTCTAGACTTACCAAAGAAATAATAACATTGTAATTATAGCTAATTTAATAATTAATTTTTTAATTACTTTGAAAGAATATTAAGAATATACCAAAGTATATTGTATTAATCAAAGAAATATTTATTTATTCAAAAGAAAAATCATTAATATTAATTGTAGCTTTCATTCCTTAAAAAATATTATTCTGAATGAAACGTTTGTTTGTATAAATTATTTACACGTTCCAAACTTCGAGGGCGGAAGTTCGAGTTTCTAGAGTGAATAGTACTAACTAACGTTGGATGAGGATCGGAAATTGGCTTAGGGAAAGTACTACAGATGTCGCCGTGAGTACGAAACAGGCTTTCCAGGCGAAAATGAGGGTGTGTTCGAGGAAACTACCCTCAGCTACGAAGTAGCATCAAATAGTAATCAGTGGAATGCAATACTCACGTCTTGCACGAGAGAAGTTCCATCGGTGTCATTTGCGAAATTCCTTACGTCACAGAAACTCGATTCAGGTAGAGGATTGGAAATTTTATACTCTAACGCCTTCTCGAATCCAATGTACGCAAAATTTTCGTAATTATAATTGTACATAGTGCATGGACTGGATGACGAGATGTTTCTTATCTCCTCGTCCGTCCAATTCGCGGCAGTCAGACTTGGTATCGCGCACCAATGTGTGGGAATCTGTGAAATATAATTATTTAATTATATACTTAATATTTTTATGGAATATTTTATTAATCTATTATTACTTATGTTTTGTATACAGTGCAAACGCATAGAAATCCATAATTTTGTTATAATAAATAGCGTGTTATTACTTTTCGACACGCTATTGTATTTATTATAAATGAACTGTGGCTATATTATATATACAATAATTAGAGTAATGACACGGAAATACATACGATATATGTATATAACGTGCAAAAATATAATACTCGTCACGATATTTTCCATTTGTATTTGTATGAATGTCTACGTTGTAAGATTTTCGTATTAATCGCGTGATCAGAAAATCTGACATGAAAACGAAATGTAGACTCTGATAAAGAGACGCTTACATCAGCGATAAAGATATAAGACATGGAGTGCATTCCATTGAATACCGTCGGTGTCAGTGTGAAAATGAATATTATCCATAGAAAGTTGGATCCATATCCGAGCTTATCAAGCGCCTCCAAAAGAGGATCCATGACTTTCATTTTCCTTCCATCGTTATCTTCATCGGTGGACATGTTTCCTCTGCAAAGTCAGACGAGCAAGGTAAATAATTTCTCTAACTTTCAGAGACGACCATTCAAAAGTTTGACTTTAATCGGCGTGATAAACTTGTACACACGATATTCACAAAGCATTATCTTCGATCACGAATTTAGAAACAGTCGAAACTTATATATAGAAACAAGGAAGAAATTACCAACTGATTATTGTATTCGCTGTAAAGTCGATCGCGTTGTAAATCCAATTAACAGTCTCGCCTCTTCTAATTTTAGAATCAATCAACAGTCACTCACAGTTCCACGTTCTCTCTCATTATTCCCTCGTGTAATCAATCATGAAATTGTCCACAAGCTCTTATCGCTAAAACTTTCTGATGACACTGTCATACTTGCAGTCACTTTCGTCGTATTTACATGGTAGATAACATCAGAGACCTAAATTGCAGATTTCTCAGGAAAAATATCTATAACACTAGGAACGACATTTCGATCACGTCGACTCGAATCGATTACACTTTCCACTTATCAATCTCTCCAGCTTCGCCGTTAATTCATTAGTAACGCGACTCCAACGCACATTTTTCAACGTTCCTGCGATCGAAGGTCTTTGTATGATCGTGTGCGAGCGACTGACGATCGACGGCCGTTTCCTCGGCCACGTATCTCGATAAGCAAGTTTCTAAACAGGTATGTATGTACGTAGCGGTGTTACGCATGATGTCGATGGCTATCGCCTTGTGTGTACTACCATGATTAGACTTCGGGTTTTTATGCAAATTTATATTTTTCAGAATATAATAAAGAAAAAAAAAATGGAATCTCGAAAATAAAAAAATTGTTTCATGTACTAATATATCGTAGAAAGTATTTTGGATATTTTATAAACTTTTCTATATTGCACTGTTTTTTAAAGTACAATTTTGTACTTTACAATTCCCTATAAATGCATAAAAAACCATAGTTCAATAATGATATTCCATTGATTCACCTGTAGGATTTTCCTCATTTTCTAAACGATGCATTGTTACTCCATATTAGTTTATAGTCCTTTTAAGAATTTTCAAAATATTCTTTTGTTTCCTTTGTTCTGAATACTTTTTTTTTTCTTTCTGTATATAAATACAGTTTTTTACAGTCTTAGTTTTTAAATAGAAAGTTTAATTTTAGAGGAATTTTGTGTCAACTTGTATCGATAGTGTTGGAAACTTGTTTGCGATTCGTTGAATGGTTATTTTAAATATTTGTAAAAGAGATTTGTAATTACCGATATTCACCGGTGTTACTGCGTTTCCACATTGCACGTGTGTCTGGAATCAAGTAATTTTAAAATTAAAAATTTTCGCTTTGAAATAAAAAAGAATCTTTGTTTAAAATGTATCACTATACGAAGATTTTGAAATTTACTTCATAATCTGCGAACAAAATAAATGTAAATGAAAAATATATAAAAACAAATCTGCTCTCGAACTACTTTCTATCGAACTGCTCGAGTCAATAATTATCGTCGCGAAACAAAATACGTCTGACGAGATATTATTGAAGATATTTTTGTAATAGAAATAGATTGCAGCATGTTCTGTATCGTACAGCAACAATATAATGTCATTACGTAGACAACTACGAGGCAATACGACACAGTAGATACATCACTGGGACGAGTATTAGATTCACCGGATGCATTTACTTACAACTTATCAGGCGAAAAAGCTTATGACAATGATAGGAGCTATCAAATTCGTGCGATTAAACATAAGCGTACGTACGGTTGACGAGCGTTTACGTCGCGCGGAGAAAAGGAAAGATTGAACTGCGTTCATTTTTCAGCAGCGTGAACACTCGAAAGAAATGTTTTAATTGACGTTGACATCTGTTATCTTGTCGGGAATCTGTTAGTCTGACACTGGCACTCGCTGCAAAATGCTTCGAGTGCCAAAATTCTTGGCCTCGATTGCGAAATAAACGTCGCTTGAACGTTAAAAAAGAAAAACAAAACACACTGGTTGATTGTTTCAATTTCAAAAAAATTTTGGAATTCATTCTTATCGTCATATTATCGACTTACGAAAGTAATGTTTGAACACTGATGTATATTGTACAAAAACATTTTGAAATTTTATTAGTATCAGTAGTGAAACATATCTGTCACGATTATGTTAGTCAAATCTGGATAATTTGAATAATAATTTGAATAATAATCTGAAAATATAGAAGTTAAGGAAGTGTATGAAAATTATAAGACAGGTGACAAAATGTTAACTTGGTAAATAGTTAGCAAATAGTACGAGTAATGGTCCGATTTGATCATGATAGTTTCGTTACGATACTAATGAAATTTCAAAATTTCACACGTAATATATTTATAAAAAATTATAGTACAGATATTCAAATATTTTAGCGAACCTGTGAATATAATCTTCACGTGTAGTATTATTTTATATCCATTTTTCATTTGGTAAACCATTCTCTCTCCATCCAAACGACGATTAATTACACAGAAAACATGTCTCGCTCGAAAATATCCAATCTGTACATCGAGTAGGTATTTTTCTTACAAGTAAACGAAAGGGGAAGTTGTTTCGTTTTTTCTTTTATTTAACACCAAAACTACCGATGGCTTGCGTATAAAATTTGTACCGCAGCAGAAGAAGCTAGGAAATTTCGTCCGAAATATTTTGAATTCATCATACTGACCACTCTGGTATTAAAGCATGCTTCTCTTTTAGATTTCGTCGACAATGACCCGCGAATCAAAGAGCAATCGAAGTAGATTATTGACTATTTATTTTTGTCATTTGTAGTCTGTATGATCGCCAAGTTCGACGTCGTCGAGGTTTTTCAATTGCATTTTTCGCGCAAGCCATGAACAGGAAAGAACCGAGATTCGAGCGTATTATTAGAACCGCGATGAATCGCTCCTACATAGGCGTAGATCAGTTGACACACTTACGATCACTAAGTCTTTCACTCTGTCGACTTTTTATTAGGAATTAATAATAGACTCTCTCGAGCTTCGGAGCTCGTCATGGCAGTGACCTTATGACGTTATCTTTTCGAACGTGAAAAATCATTACATGATATCATTATATATATATATATATATATATATATATATATCATAATATATATATCATATATATATCATAATATATATATATATATCATATATATATATATATATCATAATATATATATCATATATATATATATATATCATAATTAATAGGAGATGTAATGATTTTTCATTTACAACTGATAATCGGTAATAAATTCTCTTTGGTCACTTATATCTATTTTATCTATTTTAGCCGAGGCGAAATAATAACCCTATTCACTGAGGATCAATATCACAATTTTATCTCAAAAAGATCTAAGGAATTTCTAAGAAAAAAAAAAAAAAGAACAACATCGTTTAAAAACGAAGATCCGTATCGCATGATCAATCTCTCGAGTCTCAAGAATTTACGTTATTTATCAATTTGTATTCTTCGCACCATGGGAACATCGTACAGTAGATTAAAAAACGCGTCCGCTATGTGATGAAACGCTCTTATCCAACCGTCGATCTTGTAACCAATTTCTTTCGCGATTGGAAAAGCTTCTCTCGACTCTTCGGGCTGCGTTGCGCTGCAAAGAAACAAGTTCCTGATTTATTCTGTCAATCTGCGTATAATCCACACTCGTGATACAGCGAGTTTTCAGTTAACTAGGCTCGAAAATACGAGCAAATATTCGACGTAAATCATCGTCGCGAACTTATCTGGCTATTAAACGACTGTGTCCACAATGTATTTAAATTGTACATGCAAACGATTTATAAAACGATTAGATACCCTTGCGTTTCTGGCTCCTTTTCATTTCGATCATTACAGGTGTACATGTAGCAAGCTGGATAAGCGCTGGTGGTCGTTATTTTATGAAATTGCTCCGTTTCTATCGGAATCGATGAGCCTTTCGAAAGCACGATATCGTATCTCTGTCTCTCGTCACTGTACGTTACTTCACCTTCGAGAACAGTTAGCGTGACGTTGGTGAAGTTCTTCGAGATGTAATTGTCCAGATGCATGCGTGGAAAATCGGCGACGAAAAGGACGTCGGTATCGTTCGACCAGGTGTAAACGTGCTGCTGTATCTCTTCCAATTTGTATCTAAATGAAAGACAATAGAATGAAGCAACCGAGATAAAATAGAGATTTATGTCTGTGAAATATTGAAGTAACATTTTATCTCTATATTCAATCGATATTGTTCGTCGAACTCGCGTTTTTAAATAAGTAGATCAATTTTGATCGGTTCTAAT